AGTCTTCCTTCCATGGAGGCTTTATCTGCAGCCGTTTGCAATTATACGAATGCATTTTCTGATCTGGAAAGCAGTATCTTTGCTAAGCTGTTCGCTATCCTGGCAGGCGGCAAAGCGCAGTGCATGTCTTATAGGGAACACCCGCGTGATATGTTCTGTGGAAATTTGAAATAAAGGGAGTAATGTGAAAAACATCTTTCCATCCTCCTAACTAACCAGCGTTCTGCATAATTTAGATGCGTTTTCTCTCAAACATGACTACTGCATGACCTATTCAATGTTTTATTCTGTATTTCTTGCACCTGTCAACTTCATTCATTGCAGAGGCATCAAACCGAAAGTTGTCCGAAAAAAGAATGGCTGTCAACCTTGACTATTCATTTATTCTATTTATTTTTTATATATTTATTTGAATATTCATTTATCAAATTGTGACTTGTCATCAACGTCATAAATGGATAGCCCCAGCAGTGATTCGAACAACCGACGACAAAAATAGCAGACCTTCTGATTTGGGTCTCCTTACGCTCATCTGATGCATGCATAATGATACATTCAAAAACAGTAAGAACATGTAGTAATCGATGCACTTAAGCTAAAACATCACATCTGTTAGGAACATTAATGATGGATGTGCTGGGCCTTTCAGTCAATGTATCTCTCTGTCACACTGCACACCATGACATCGCCATTCCTCTAACATTGGCGAAAATCTAAAAAACTAAGCTACCAGTTAGGACACCGGTGAATTTGACCGAAGAGTCTTTAGCTATTTATACGATTGTCGGTGTGCATCGATGTGTCGGGTGCATCTGTGACCATTATTTAATTTCCTGAGTTGTGCAGTTTTGTTGGGAAAGTCCAGCCACCAGTGCCATTAGTATTATCAGTACCTAGTGGGTTGGCGTTGCGTTCACTACGCACGGATGCTCTCTGCTCAAATGGAATGCAAACGTTTGCAACCAACCTGTCAGAATCAGTTAGAAGAAAACTTGTCATAAGAAATTGTAGAATTTGTTGGCTTATGAGCTCATTTCCATACTCCTGTGTGAACAAACAATAAGACTTATAGCTCGGACATTCTGACCAAATAAGGAATTTGTTTGCAGTGGATCGCATGGATTCGATTTATTTGTGTTAAATTGTCTCTCAAGGTCGGTCGTTCTGCTGGCCTGCATTCTCAAGTTGTCAAATCACCGGGTTCTTCAGACCGAAACATTTCTGCAAAAAAAGTGAAGATAAACCCACAGCTAGGAAAAAAGCACAGGACGGTAACATGTCGTAAGGATGTTAAATCTGTAGGCGATGCCCGCCAACTTTTGTTCACCATTAGGAACAATGTCCCAGACGTCTGAATGTGTATTGAAATCAGAATTGCAACATTAGTTCAATGAAATTACGAGTAGGTTGCCGACCTGATCAAAAATATTTGTCATTTATTGGGCTATGGATTGATAAGAGCGTTTCCATCTATGTTAGACAGTGGTATAGTGTCGTCACATAAATAATGAGAAACAGTACTGTGTTTAGGCCTTGACTCTCGGTCCGTTTTCCATGGTATTCTGCATACCGTACTCAACACTTTAGTAACGAACAAGTCGCTTTGGCTAACCCACAATAATATACAGCATAACGCCATTCGTAATCTTTCTAATGCAATTAACAGAGTTTATTTGTTTTCCTCATTCCTTCTTTTGTTTCCAACATACGAGGTTTAGTGTCTAACTAGTTTACCTACGCGACAAAATTCCTAGTCACTTTGGCGTCCAAAACCCTTGGCCTTTGGTTACTTCGTTCATTCTCTTTTAGCCGAAATTCTGGTGTTCAAACAAATGAACAAGGAGATTGTCAGTCAGTATGTGGCTTATTGAATGGTTTCCCGTTATTGAAGGGAGTGGTACTATTTTCATAAAGGAAACTACTCAAAGGCTGCTGAAAACTCTTCGACAGCCCACGACCGGTTTCGCCCTTCTGAGGCGCAGTCCCCGTGTTTCCGTCAACCTCACGTTCTAAGTGAACCCAAACTGGACTGTTTCCAAGACACCAATGATGAGCCCGAAGAAGGGTAAAACCGGTCGTGGTACAATGTTCTCTCTGATTTAGTCAGTCACACTCCTCTTCACCCACGTCTGGCCCAGCAGGTCACAGATTCAGGACTCTGAGTTTCGTGAGATCCGCACGGGTGATGATTCCCAGCGATAATGAAACAGCTGTACAGCGCTTTTCGGCTTTTTGTCATACATTGGCATCACTGACAAGATGAAATCTCAGTCGAATAATGAATTATTCGCCGGCGAACGTTCTGAGTTGACCACAAAGAATGAATTTTCAAGAAATTAAATCGACCTAACGAATGCTGCGTTTCAAATCCCGATATCCCACCATTTCTTGAGTGCAGAGTACTTTACCTCATTATGCAACTGTGTTCAACCAATTTAGTGTTCGCTTTGAGTCATGTTGCTGAACTGTGACAACTTACAACTTTGCAGACGTACTTTCCTCGCTGTTGCTTGAACAGCTTTGACAAGACAACAATGTGAGCACGACATTATAACCTGAGGTGGGGATGAAGGGTTGACGCAACCAATCACGACCAAACTTCACTGAGAGACTTTTTTCTACAGGGAACGATCCGTTGCATATTATTCAGCGGTTGGAGACAACTTAATGGTAACATGCTAGATCTAAGTCCTGGACAGCCAAAGGCACACTCTATCTTACTTAGTGCTGGCGGTGATTTAAGAACAGAGAGGAGGTGTGTAAGACAATCCTTGATCTAGAAATAGGCAATTTATGTGGCCAGACTTCCTGTCATTCGTACTGTCCGAGGAGTGCAAACATATCCTTAGTAAACGTGTTAAAGTTCTGCTTAGTCAGTATATTTCTCGTCGAGGGAGTGGCATTAATAATACCGGTGCCAGATGGGATAATATCTAATTTCAGACAAATTACCTGTAAACCCTGGCTTTTTTGGTCAGTTTGAAAGATGCCTTTGCTATTCTGATGCTCTTCTTCGGAGCTTCGACATCAGTTAATTGTGGGTAAACGTTTGAGCAGCACTTGCATAAGCTGACCAAACAGCTAGGTACATTTTGTCCCCTCGTCTCATACCCGACCACCTAAAGTTGACGATTTTTCTTCGTTATTCTTTCACATATGCATATGTAATAACACTATATGACTAGCTCCATTTCCTTGTAAATATACTGGTTAAATGCTAATTTAACTTCCCGGATGCGGGTGGGTTTACAACAGGTCGTTGCAGAAGCAAACCGTTTTTTTTAAACATCCCAAAGGTAAGCCGTCTTTTTGATCGTTTTGGTTGAGTAAGCGTGATCACTTTGAAGAATCATCGCCCGTTTGTGTTGTCAACAACTCAGTCATTATAAGCTTTAGTTCGAAATCTTTATACCGTGATCTGTTTATCAATCTCGAGGTTTGGTGTTCTGTATTCATTGACTAGATTAGTTATCTCTTCTTTTTAACCTTGGTCGTTCTTGGTTTTTGCACACGTTCCCCCTCACTGTACTTGCTGTTTGTCTGTTTTGTCTTTGAAATTCCCCACCCAGACAATGCATTTGCCGCATTGCTGATACATACCACCAAGTGCGATATATTTCTTAGTATAAGGTGACTATATTATCAGAAGTCACCTTCTGGCCTGTATAAACTCTATGGAGTAAAGAATACCTAAAAATCATTGTGTCTGAAAATGTAAGGCGTTTTATAGTCCACCATTGGTCTCAACTTTTAAACTTTCGCTAAACAAAACTGCAGGGGGATGTGATTCGTACTACTCCGCTAAGGTTTGTCGTTGGCTCATCCTATTTTGTACCAGTTCAGTCTTAAAGAGCCTTATTTTGGTGAGCTACGTGAGTATATTAGCTGGCCAATTACTGACAGAGTCATCCTCGTGCTTAAATTTTGACCTTGTTACAAAAAGCACAGAGCTTTCACGAATTTCCTGTAGTGTAGTGTGGTTTGGGCGACATCCGTGACTGATTGATAATGAGTCTGATTATTTTTCGGGTCTTTCCAGCGGCAATGAACAAAAAAGATCAAAAACAATCCGTGGGATGTCCCAACGCCGAAAACCTCATCCACATTGATTTAGCAGCCACAGAAGAAACGAATGTTAGAAATATCAAGAAGCTTGAATCCACAAGGCATGCGGCTTCTATATAAATTCCAAGCCAATCAATGCAGTGAAAGATGGCGACTTTTTATCTATAGTCTAGCAAAGATAAACTAACGGACCTCCGAAATAACATTCAAAAACCCAGACGGTTGGGAAATGTCAAACTCGTTACCATTCCTCATAAAAAACATACCTCGTGGAGCAACCGATCAAGATACTCGGGTCAATTTCCACAAAAAAAGAACACTATTCAAGTTATTGAAAATATTTTCCTAAATGTAATAATAACCATAAAGTTGGTGGGACCTTTCGACAGGTCACTAAATCCCTGTTCTCATCAGATGGGAGTAGCTCTCAAAGTCCCAAATATAAGCCAATGCACAGGATTTAGTGCTAAAATGAGGAATTAATCTGAGTTTTGATCCCTGTATATAACTAAAACATCCTCCTGAAAAAATGATCACTTATCCTGCCCCACTACGCTGCAATTTCTATGCAAATTTAACACTGCACACTTTGTTGTTTTCTTTAGAAAACCAGCATTTCGCCCAGGGTGACAAAGTGGTCGTGTATGCCTGAGATTATGATAATTTACGCAGTACCAGCTTCTTCACGTTACTAACCGTCGTTGAAGTAACATGGGAGGGTACTCAAGGCTTCAATGACTTGTCAGTGGTGAACCAAAAGCGTCTGGGAATATGAAGCGTATATGGAAAATGATAACAATGGTGTTTCAACCAAAAATACCAAACAGAAAAATTCCAAATCGCCCAACTTACAGTATCAAATTTTAAATGTTTCGGGTTGGAAAATACACTTTCAGAGCAAGAACGAGGGTTTTTTTACTCTCAGCATAACCTACCTGTTTGAACTTGATCATCACCTTTTGTAGCTCCTCTTTCGGTGGAATCCATGTGAAGTGGATTTCTCGTCGATAACATTTGATAATGAAATCTCCGGGCATTTTCCGACAATGTACTGGTTTTACGACGAGGTTGGATGAAGTTCCAACTCTGGACATTTCGGACTGCATGTTATTTGTTATGGTGTTCATTGTACATCGGTGTTTATGATTTTTTCATAATAGTTCGTTGAATCTGTGGTCGGTTAACAAAAATTCCGTTTCTGTTCCTTGCGTAGCACACACTATTCCAAAGGCATCTCCAACCACTTACACAACTCGGCCGCATGCAGCATTTATCCTAAAACCGTTGAACAGATTTCGGGCTTTCCATTGGTACACGTCACCATGCTGCGCGTGGTCACGTGATGGGACAGTGCAGACATTGATTTTCCGTTAACTGAATGCGTGTTTGTGGGGGGAAACGGCAGTGCAGACAACAGCTGCGAAACACTGTGATTGGCTGGGCAGTTTGATTCGCGTTGCTCCTCTTCCCAGGATGTAGGTGAGCCTGCTGGCTTTTATTTGATGTGATTTACGAAAACACAGCGATGTGTACACCAAACAAGCCTGCGTTTTCCGATTGATGAGGCCGCTCTTGGTTGCCGTGTTTCGATGGAAAATCGAACGCAAATGAACCGAAAGACTTTACATGGTTACTTTTGTGAATTTTGTTTTTCAGATAAGTTGTAATCACCAAACTGAAGACTCGATAGTATAGGACCACGCACCCGCCATTTATCCGATCACAGAGGACCAAAATTAAACTGCTTGGGGTGAAAAATATTTAAAAAGTAGGCACTCTGAGGGATTTTGTTAGTTTTCCTGTGAACAGTCAAGTCAATAAAGTTCACCCAAATTCAAATGGCTTCACCTAGAATCTCAATGAAAGGCCATGAACAAAAATGTCATCATTGTTTAAACTTTTACAGATTTTCCAGCTGCTTAGAAGCGTATACTTGTGTAAACCCGTTCCTGGGATCGCACATAACATGTTCAGGACACATGGCTATCGTCTGGAAACACCATACATTTCCACGCACTTGACAGATTATACAATTTTATGGGTGGTTCTAAAAAAAACCGACCCGCTTTTCTCGTTCAAAATTAATTGCAGTTTCAATATGGTATGTTGATTGCACTCCATAATATTTGTTTAAAAACGTTCGCATTACAGGTTCTAATAGAGTTGACAGTTGCGCATGCCTAATGGGATTTTCATCTGATGATCTCTGAGCTTTGAACGGGCGTTCACTGTACCTTGTACGAAGTAAAGAGGTTTGGTCTCCTTTTACTTGAAGCCGAGATTACAGATACAAGATATGGCTTAGAAAACAGATTGCATCTTTCACTTAGATGCCTGAGATAACTTTTTTTTTTTTCATTATCATGAACACTTTATCTGCTCCTACGTCCAGTTCCATTACTAAAGTGCTGTTCTAAACACTTAAGAGCCTGATGCGGACCTCTAACAATACTTCACATTGTTACTGACTAATTGTAAGTCAGGCCATCACAGCACCCACTCGATCGGTAAAGGAAAAGACCAATATTGGTAGAATTTTTCTATCTGCTCCTACGTCCAGCTCCATTACTAAAGTGCTGTTCTAAATACTTAAGAGCCTGATGCGGACCTCTAACAATACTTCACATTGTTACTGACTAATTGTAAGTCAGGCCATCACAGCACCCACTCGACCGGTAAAGGAAAAGATCAATATTGGTACAATGTTTCTGGCCGGATGAGTTTTCCTACTTGAAATGACTGGTGGAGCAAACTTCGTAGCATGAAGGAAACTGCGTGTGGTTAACAAAATGCCCGAAAACAAATAGTGCGGTCCATTCGGTTGATTCTGAAACCATCCACCAGAAAATTTCCCAACCAAGGAGTGATCTGCATCAAGGAAGTCACACTATAAAAGGCTGCCTTGTCTCCAAAATTAGCTCACGCAAAGTATACCACAATATCAGAATTTTCGGTTGGTTAGCAACTCAAAAGGCTTTTTGTATGCACAAGGTTGACAAACTAAACAGCACACCTGGTGATTTTAAACGGATTTGGCTTTGGACATATACACAGTATCACTAATTAAAACACGCTGCAAAAGTGATGCTGCATAAACACAAACCGGTTGTGGAATACATTAGCAAAAGCAAACTGGTCCACTACTTCTGGAGTCATCAATAATCCTTGTCAAACCCCAATCCAGGCTGTTAACAATGTTATTGCAACGAAGAAAGCATGTAGTGCTTCGTCTAGCATCCAAAGAAAAATGCCATTGACAGTGTACTGTCCTGGAAGATTCCACGTATGCACTTGGTGATGAAAAGTATCGAAAGTCGCGACGTGCCATATACCTTCAAAGGGACGAAAAGGAGAACATGGCGCAAAGCGATGCAGAACATCCAGACATCTATAAAGCCACCAAACATTGTCATACTTTTCACAGCTTATGAGCACGAAATTTTCTCACAGTAGTGTTGTATCTGAGTTTTTTTTCGCACGAGTCCGGTCGAGTGGCGCAACTCCTTTTATCGAGTATGAGTCATAATGTTGGGTCAATTACAAATAAGCAATCTGGTCGGAGGCACTTGTTTGTATTGATGAATTTCAAAGGAGCTGGTTTAAAACACATGCTAGCGAACGCAATTTCATACTCCAGGTACACAATACCTGAAAAAATTTGTGAACCCACAAAATATTTCATGCTCAAAATGTTTGCTTCATGAGACGACCCTATTCCAACAAATCGATTTTCTTGGGCCGGTATTTCATTGTCATCCATTGTCTGTTACGAGAACCCATGATTGCCTCATTTACATCAGCGTGGTCTGTTCTAAGTGAAGGTGTTCTTTGTAGCATCTCTCTGTAATCGCTATTATAATTTGATTTCTTAAACTACTAACGTATTCGTTGGAACAAATCTTTTGGAGTTGACGAAGAGTTCAACCAACAGCTGCGCAAAATGAATTACTAACATTTTCCTCTATATCTAACACAAAACCAATTTAACAATCGTTCAAATAATGATACTCTGACGATAGAATACGACAACGTGGAACAATTTGGCTCGCGACGTTTCAAGCGAAGCAGAAGCGGAAACCGACTTGACACACACCAAGGGTAGTAAGTAGTGTTTACTGCAGCGCCAATGCAATGAAATGAACGAAACGTCCCACTGAGAACGAAATAAGAAATGAGTCGTGGGATGCATACAGTACATTTTTCATTCATCACAAAAAACTGCAGCATATGTATAACACATCTATATGACTCAGCTTACGGGGACAACAACGACGCAGTTTTACACGAACCGAGGTGGGCAGTCTTGATTGGAATGTAGAGAGCAGGTTTTAACCTAAACTGGTTCTTTCTAGTTGACACGTAAGGCCTCATCAAATGCTCACAACGTTGGGTTTGAATCACGCAACATGACGTAGAATGAACTGTAAGATTCATTCAGATGATCTGTTCTAAAATGCATGACCGACTGCACCATGTGTTTGTGTGTGGCTGGTTCCCAACAAAATGTTTGGATTTTATAGATTGAGAGAAGTTGCGAGTTTTTCCTGTAAGCGAAGTAAATCAGTACCGAATAGCCAAGACACACTGTTCTTCAGTGATTTCTTGTGAGAGACGTCGTTCTGATCCGCTAATGTAGATGTTGCTCGACTATAATTGAAATGTTATAAGGCAAGTTTGAAAAAAAAATCGTTCAGCTGTAGCACCTTTTTGATGCCTACCTGCCATGCAACCAGAAGGAAGCACGAGGAGTGGGATACTGCCAGGTCGCTCAAGCCTGGACAAAGGAATTCGAGAGGCAGAGGTTGGATTCTAACCTTAAAACTTCCGGTCAATAAATTGGCGCTCTAACCACTGAGCAATCTTGCCCCAAAGCAAGTTTGGCAGACGGATTTAACGAATTCGGACAACTGGCTGATAAGAAATGGAATTTGTAGCCGGCAAGTATATCTAGGTCTTTGTTTATTTGTCTTGTATACACAAGATCACCAAATTTATGGTGGTTTCAGTCGGAACAAAATGAACTTCCCAACTAATGCTCATAAACGTAATCCAAAACACCCAGTAGAATGAAATTTCGTCTGCTTTTGAGTAGTCACCCCTTTAGAAAGATAACATAGCTGACGACACAATATGTTGCCCCAGTGGTGTATTTTAAACAGTGGAGCACTGTACTCAACGTTTTATGACAAAAGTAGACTTTGTGGTCTGTTGGAACGCACAATGAAACTTTTAAACGTGTGTTCTAACAGTCTGATTCTTGCACGACTGGTCAGCCAGGACGTGACAATAAGACTATTCAGATGAGACTTTTAATGCCTTGCAACAGCTCACAGTTTCCTCAGTTCCCAATTTCTCATAGTTCCTTAGTCTTGGTCCTAAAACTCACTACTAAATACTCATTTTTCTGTGTAAATTATGCCGTATCAGGTCTTGGAATAAAACCGATAGTGTTACAGTTGGTTTATCCAGTGTAGCACCAAACTTTATCGCTTTCCTTTGGGGACTGCACTGCCAGTCATTATATTTGTCCGACATAATTTTAAAATGTGTATCTATCCAAAACGAATCATACCACGGACAAAAAGCACCCCCTCAAATCTATATACCGTGTACCGTTCTGATCTGGTGATATCTATACTAATATTGATCGCATAGAATACTGGAACCCCATTGCGTGACCGGAAGTATACACTCAAGATAAAGTTGTGCACGGTCTGAACCTGAAATGAACCAGTTCAATGAATTTGCCTGAAACGGACCCCACTTACTCAATCTCAGGACTAATCAACCCGTGTGCTTTGCAACTTTTTAGAGAGTACATGCCCGTGAAATTGATAAAAACTTTGCATCTCATTTCTTGTATCATATAGATTTGTGATGTGTTAAACAATTAGACCAGCCCTGTGAAATGCCTTCGTTTCA